CCGGAACGCCCTTGCTCCGGAAGGGGCCACAGCATGGGGCCTCAGAATGTTAAGCCAGTGCTCTGTACTGAGCCACATACACCTCAGCCCTCTTTCAGACCTGTTAAGTTCTGGTTTGCCCGTTACTAACTTAAAAGTTCTTTGAGAGACTGTTAACTCAAGAGAGACTATATAGAGAAACTTCTCGTGGTGTCTAGATCTTGCCGGTGGGTCCCTGAAAAGAAAACCAGCTAATTTCTGGAGTGCACAGCAGCACACTCTCTAAACGTTTATAAAGGTAGTGGCCTGCAAGGTGAAATGTCTTTGAAATTTAACAGTAGCAGCAGAGTAACAAACAGGACCTGCTGAAGACCTGCTGTTTGCTCAGGGAGTACCAGAAAGGCATCATTAAAGTTAAAGTCAGGGCTTGGCCCAGCCTGCCAGGAAGGAAAACACAGTCATTATAGAGGAAAATAAGTGTGTTTAGTTTCCTTAATTTTAGAACCAAAAGACTTCTCCAAAAACTTATTGTAGGAAAAACAGAAAATTCACAGGTGAAAGGTTAAAAACTATATATGCCAAGCTCCAGTGCACAGCAATCTTATCCAATTATTTCCTTGGAATATGTTTCTTGAGACATAGCAAGATTAACACACTTTTCAGGTGATTGAAGATTTCAGTACTGCCCATAGTCGACACATGCCATTTTATCCTGTCCCCAGCAATATATAAGAGAATCTATACTCTACTCACCCTCAGCATTATCATTGTTTTCCATTTCTGTTGTGTTAATGGGGGAGGGAATATTTTATTGCTGCCATATTGAGCAACTTTAGGGGGTTTAAGTGTCTTTATTCAAATCATTAAGGAGCAGGCATATAACTTTACTTGGTTGATTGTAATGTTACTCCATTTCTTTTGGCAATAGAGCCCTGTTACAGGTTTAAATGATGCTATTAGAAGCCTAAAACCTTAGTGAATGAAATCACCATAATACCACAATACATTAGCTGATCTCAGTAAATAGATGTGTGTGTGTGTGTGTGTGTGTGTGTGTGTGTGTGTGTGTATTACTCAGGAGATCAAGATACCATCTAATATTTGGGTTTGTTGAGCCCCTTTTAAATCAAAAGTGAGAAACCCACCCCCCCTTTTTTTTTTCTCGAGACAGGGTTTCTCTGTGGCTTTGGAGGCTGTCCTGGAACTCGCTCTTGTAGACCAGGCTGGTCTCAAGCTCACAGAGATTCACCTGCTTCTGCTTCCTGAGTGCTGGGATTAAAGGTGTGCGCCACCATTGCCCAGTGAAAAAGCCACTTTTTATACTGTCTACTAACATCCCTTTATGTTGTTTGTGTCCTTACTTACTTTTTGGTGGGATTGGTCTCTTTTGATAACATGTACTCTGTGAGAAGATTGTGGTTCTGACTTCTGTCCCTGTCTGCCAAGCAATCTGTCCTAACTGGAAAATGTTGCGCTTTCGTGGCCACTTCTTTCTCCTCTTCTTTTCCTGAAGGGCTGGGCCTCACACAATTGGGCATGTGCTCTACACTCAACTGCATTCCCACCACACTTAGCCAATTCTCTTCCCTGGCATAGAGCAAACACAGGGCCAGGCCAGACCAGGCCAGGGCAGAAGCTATAATGTACTACAGCAGCTGCTGCCATCTCAGTAGAGCTGTCATAGAGGTCAGGCAAAGGAGTCAGAGAAATGAATGGAAAATACTGTGCACGCTGCTTGGCAGTTGCATGTCCTGCTTCCCTCCCCACTGCCATGATCACGGTCTAAAATGACATTATTTTATACCAAATAGATTGTATTAACTTGTTTTATTCTCTGATTATTTTGCTGGTAACCTAAATGCCATAATCCACAACTTGTATTGTCTTTTGAATTTAACAGTTTTTTCTAACTTTCCCGATGAAATTTGTCTTTTATTTTACCATAAGACTTTCTCTGAGTGTACTGTCTTGAACCTTGCACTTGGAAAGTCTTGCGTCTGGAGTTTAGCAGCATGTTGGTAATAGTCTTAACAGAGAGGGTTCCTGAGTGCATCTGAACAGTCAGTTTCTATCTAGGTTCTTGCCTGAAGATGGATGATTCTGAAATATGATGGGGTAGGGGGAGAATGAGAAAATTAATTTAGTCTGATGGTGAGTAAAAACAGAAAAGTTAAGTAAATAATCTAGGAAATCTGGATACAAAATAACTTAAATATATAAAAGTGATTAAAGTACCAAGTGTTATTAGAATGGCTAATTTACTTAACTGACAGCAAGTATCTAGCTCGCCAACTGGGAAAATCAAACATGAATGCAAAATTATCCCATAATATGACTCACTTTAGGTGCACAGAGGAAGAAAACCACCACCTATGAGAGACTGTCACTAATTTTTCAAGCATTTTCTATGCCTTCCTCTAAATCCCACTGCAGTTCTAAGGATTTGATTTAAGTGCTTTTTGCTTGTTAGACAAGCACCTGCCATTGAGCTCCATCCATAGCCTTTTCTATTCCTTTAGATATAGACGCAAGCAAATCCTATAGGCATGATGCATGTTCTGCCTCTAGAATCACAGGCTCTCAAAAACTAAGGGGGAGCTTAACAATCAATGGGTTCAACTATCCATCCAGATTTCATTTTGGACCTTGACTTTTAAAGTAACAACTTACCATTCTTTAAACTGGATCATTTCAAAGATGCCAAACTGATAAACGATCTCAGTCATTTCTTTTTTTCCTCTAGAAAGGAGGTGGTTAAAAAAAAAAAAAAGAAGAGGTTTTGAGTCTATAGATTGGGTGTTGTTAATGTGGTGGACTTTCATAGAATAAACAACCTTGGCAGCCCCGAGAGATGATTTGTTTTAATGTTGCCTTTTCAGATCTCCTTTGCTCAGTATGTGCTAACTGCTATCTTGGTAACTTTCTTGGATGATAGAGCAAAGCCAATAGAAAATGGGCAAATGGGCAAAGGAGAGAGAGAGAGAGAGAGAGAGAGAGAGAGAGAGAGAGAGTGGATGGGAAACTTGATTCCTCTCAACCTGTCTTCAGTACTTTCTAGGGAAATTCCTGGGGTCACCTGGGCGACAATTAATGTGGCTAGCATTGCCTCTTCTTAAAGAGGTGGATGTAGCTAATGTGCCAAGGTCAAGCAAGCCTCAGAGACAACAAACATTACATGGAGGACCAGTCTAGCTGAGGATACAGCCACATCATGTACAGCACAGGCATACTTAAGATGAAGGAGGAAACTAGGGAGGAAACGTAATTCTGAAAACATACCTGATTGTATTTTGAGTAGTTTTTTGAAGTTGTAAAATATTATGAAACATCTTCTTATTTCTGCTGCGACAATCTTCCAGGCACAGACACTGTATTTCTTATCCCCCAGGAACTTATTGATTCTGATGAAATACTTGCTCAACTCCAGGTAGACCTTCTGGAGGAACTTTGGTCGGGGGTGTTTTGGCTTATGGTCTCCCTCCTTGTTTTCCTCCTCCTCGTCCATAAAGCAGTCTTGTGCTTGATGCATTTGCTCATAAAGTCCCATTCTGATGTGTTGTAGGCGCTCCGCTATCACAGGGGAGACGTGGCTATTCTGACTGAAGAAAATACTCAGTGCTTGGATAGATACAATATAGAAGGCCTCCTTCATGTCCCTTTCCACATGCTGGATATATGGAAGGATTTCTTTAGGAAACTCAAAATTCTTGATTTCTTTTAGACATTTTAGGGGAGAGCGGATGATGCTTCTCAGAAGTCTCACACTTTCCAAGGTGGCATTATCCAGAAGAACACAATTCAGAGATTGGATGGGCATAATGAATAGAGCCACAAGGACCACTGGCCATAAACGCTCTGGAGTCATCTCAGCCTTGGTGCTCAGTATTCTTTCCAAAGTAAAAAAAAATCTATAGCACTCAGGATTAGTAGTGATGTTTTACTTACTCTTTCGTGGACTTATATACCTGTTTATCTTCAGTGGGAGGTGTTTCCTCACTTAGATTCCAAGTACTTTGCCTCCAGGCATTCTTTTTTAAGTGAGCAAAGCATTACTTTAGGTTCCCAGCTGACCCATCCCAGCAGCAAAGAAGACTCACCATAACAAAACTGACATACAGGGGTTGGGGTGTAGCTTAGTTGTAGGATGTTTGCTAAGCATGTGTAAGGCCCCAAGTTCAGTTCCCAGCATTAGAAAACAAATCACTCAACTCATATCAAAGACATAATGATCCTTCTGAAAACTGTATTTTTGGTACCTGATCCTATAGGCAAATTTCTGTTTTAGCTGAATTAGTCATTAACCAAATGACTGTGACTATTGATGACTACTTCACTACCCATAACATAGTGTAGCTTTCCCCAAACTTGACAAGTTAAGCTTTTGTATTCAGAAAATTTTGTATTTTCTTTCCTTTTTCTTAATTGTTCTGGATCTCAAAAAAGATGATGAGCTGAGTTTGTCAACTTAGCATAGCTTCAGAAAATACAAGATGATGTTGGCTTAATTTTCTGTTGACAGGAATTAATATTTCACAACTATCCCTTCCTTTCATCATATTCATTTCTGGGTTGCATTTCCTATACCTGAATCTTAGCAGTCTTCTGGTGGGTTGTATACTTGAGAATATTTTTTTTCTGCTTCATTAGTTTTTCTGGTGTAGTGTCATGCAATTCCTTTTTTATACAGTTTAGATACAGATTTAGATTAGATGTAGTATTTTAAAACTTCATTCTCTTCCCTTCTTACTTGATGGTTCTGGAATCTGTGAAATATTTTGTTTGTTCTGCTTCTTTCTCACCCCTAAGACATTTGGGTAGAAGGTCACCCATGTCAGCTAGCTAACTCATACCTAGGTTGCTATGACCATGCTATGATGGTCGTCTGCCATCAATGGTGTTTACTTTGTTTGACCAAATAATATTCTTTGGATTATGGTCTGATCAAATGGATTCCTTTCTTGCAGAAAGTAAAATAGTATGACTTTAAAAGATCCTAGCTTATTTTCTTACCTTTGTAAAAAGAAAAAGAAAGAAATTAAAGAGTTTTCAATGGTATTCTATTGAAATGGGAAGCACTAGAGTTGTAGGGTAGTAGATTGTGATTGAAATTCTGGCTCTTCTGGCTTAAAAAAAAATCTTTCTTAAGCATTTGGTTGTATCAAAAGCTAATTGGGGATGACTTTCTTAAACTGTGGGTTATGGACTGCATTCTTGAAAACAGGAAATATTGCAGATATTCCTCTCTGTACTTTTTCTATATAAATTCTAATTTCACAGACAGTTTCTCTGCATGACTGATTGTCAAAAAACAAAATCAGGAAAAGGGGCTCTTTATATGAGAATATACATTAATTTTATTCATTTGTCAGTAATTCTTCCTCTTAGAGTTTCTCCATTCTCTTGCCCAAAGAATAGTGATGTCATTAAAGATTTGGTTGTTAAACAACGTTATAAGCACTTGGTTAAGAAAAGCATCAGTAGAAAATTTTCTGCACAAACACTAAAGTTATGTTTGGGAATACATTTGGTCACTTTGGCGACTATATTTTGTTTCTTAAAAGAAACTTTCTTGGTCTGGCGGTAGTGACACATGCCTTTAATCATGGCACTCAGGAGGCAGAGGCAGGTGAATTTCTGAGTCTGGTCAGCCTGGTCTACAGAGTGAGTACCAGGACAGCTGGGTTTCCACAGAGAAACCCGCCCTTGGAAAACAAAACAAAACCACCACCACAACAACAGCAACAGCAATGAACCACAACCAAACAAAAGAGAAACTTTCTTGGTAAGATGGAATCTAGTTCCGTTTTTGTTAAATGTGGTTATTTTCAATCTTGGACAGAAAAGAAGAACCTTGAGGTATATATCCTAAAATTTTTGTGTCTTATCTCTGACTGGAAAAATGAGTGATTTTCATTCTTTTATTTTTACTGACTCATTTTATTAAGTTTTCTGGGATCAGCAAGTGTTTTTGTTTGTTTGTTTTTGCTTTTTTTTTTTTTAAGAAAACTTCTTTATGAGAAAGTGAAACAGAATCAACTTAAACATTTCTACTTAAAAAGGACATGTGAATTTCTCTAAGTCTCAGTCTCAGTTCTGTTGCTATGGGCAACGCAGAATTATATGGGAGCTCAGTCTTGTAGCTTTTTACACAGAAACACGTTTGTGCATATCTGCAAACACCTGTAATCACATGTGTGCACACAGTGCAATAAAGTACGAAGCACCTCGGAGGACCCTGCTTGCTTACATAGCTTGTATCATTCCCACCTAAAACATCCAGTTCAAGCAGTTCCAGGTAGAGCTGCCTATCATTTGGGGCTTGTGCAAGGCCCTGCCTTCCTTAATTATAAGTTTTTGAAGTAAACGATTGTATAAATGTTGATCTCTAATTTAATACATTCCTCTCCAAGCACTCCAATTCACTATGGTGCTCAGTATACTTTGCACTTGTTTAGGACACTTCAGCCACTGTGCAGTTGCCTTGGTACAGTAAGGCATTTCTTCCCATGGGTGAAGAAGATTGCAACAGATGTGGAGTCCCGTATGCTTTTTTTCCACCATGAGTGGCTTTGTTATTTTTAAGTGCTCTCCCCCAACATCCCCTCCATTTGCTGCCGTTCATCTTGTATACTTGATTCAAACTTCATTTGAAGTGTTTGGCACAGCACCCAGGTCCTGTAGAAGGAGGAATACAGTGTACTACCTGATGGCAAAGAAGTTACAATTGCAGGCATTAATTGTGGGTGGGCCTCATTCTGCAGGTGCTTTAAATGCCAATTTGTGTTAACATTGGTAGTATTCGTGACAAAGAATAAAGGTGGGTGGCATGCTTGCTCTCCTCTCTCTGGCCATCAGGATTGCCTGATTTAGCAAATAAACCTCAGGAATATGCCTGCAATGTTTCAGAAATACCTGCACCAAGGGCAAACTCTTTCTCCCATTGACCTAAGATCCAAATTTAACTTGCTATTTTTATTTTATCTGGTAACCTTACTGACCATGAGAACTCACTTCCATTGATCTCTGACGGAGCTCAAGAAAGACACTTCTTCAAGAAGCTTTTCCTTTGCCTTCTCTCCATCTCCTGGGAGCTGCATTTTGCTTCATTTCTCAGGGCTGGCATCACTTAAGGACAGATTCAAACAAGAGTGCATACTCCAAAGAGGACACATGTGTACACACATGCATGCACTCACATGTAATTGCTAGTTACTCTAATGAGAAACATTATTGGATCATCAGTCACTCAGAATCTGGACATTGAAAAGGCTATTGACAAAACATTTTTCCCTTTACATGTCTGTCACAGCTGTCCACTCTGTCATTAGCAGGATGTGCATTGACATGCCAACTCTGTGCCCATGATGACTTTATTTCCCAGCATGCTCTGAAGTAGTTTTTATATGGAGTGCTATTTTCACCAAAGGGAACACAATTAACAGTGGCTTCCCTGTGGATTATAAGGCTAACACTAATGAGCAAGGTGGAGTGTGTTTGACAAAATAGAGAAATGAGACATTTCAGGGGAGACGAAGGCCCTGGGTTTAACTCAGGGGCACACGGATTGCGAAGATTTATTGCTTACTATGAAAGGACACGTTTCCAGTCTGGATAACTTGTAGATCATCTTTGTTACTCAGTAGCTAAGCATGAATCATTTGGTTGTGCTGTTTTGGAGGTAGCTAAATCTTAAGGCAGTAAGATTGCTTCCTTATACTGAGCCTGAATGTGTAGTGTGTCTGTCTATTCCACAGCACCTCTGTGACCTCTGCTGGTGATTCCCACCATCTCCCCTTCCTGGTTAGCCTCTCACAGGACCCTCCATCCCTTCCTTGATTGTGCTACTCCTAACTTGCACCTGATGGGAGGAGGGGTCAACAACTTAACGCCAGTCACAATATTGGCACATTGTGAAAACTCAATCCTTCTGGGGAAAGGGAGGTCAGAAAGCACCTCTCATGCTCTCCCTTCCCCAGGACAATGGTAGTTATCAGTCTGCTCGGTGGCCTTGGTCATGTCTTTCTCCTGTCTCAGCTTGGGTCCATGATGGCAGGTACAACAGCTGTTATTTGGTTTCTACCTTTTGAAATGGCCCGCAGAAACCACAGAAATTGAGAGATCTGGGCCACCTCCAAAGGTGGGGAGAGGATACCCTCTGCTTCTTAAATCGTTAAAACAGGGTTATCAAAATTGTGAGGGTGTTGACACTTCATCTCTAGAACAACATGATGTCATCTGCAGGCATTGGTTTTAAAATAGAGATTGAATGTTCTTCATGAAGATAAGACCCAGAACGAATAGTTCAATGATGGGGCATTAGACCTTGATTTCCTTTCTGTTTAGGCATAAGGAGGACAAGTCAGATATTGTGGGTGATCGAGGATATGATAAATGGCAACTGAAGTGTCATTTCTATTTTTGAAGCTTCTTCTTTGAATTGCCCGAGGATAGTTAAGTCATAAACACTTTGGTAACTCCAGTGATATCTTGGGTTCATATTTTTGGGTTGGTTCATGTCTTCCCTTCCAGACTAGAAATGTGACTTACACAGTTTTGTAATCATGACACCGACTGTTTGCTGAATAAAAGGGACCATGGGATTTCCTGTGTTTCTCAAGTCTGGTTGGATATTAACTTGTATGGACAAAAGTAAGAAAGACCTTTCCTCCACTTTACTAAGTCTTTGTATCAGTGTTCTCAGTAGCTACGGTTTATCATGTTATTACCTGGGAAGCTCTTTAGACTTATCAGCATCAGTTCTCTTTTGCAACCCCGTATCATTACAACTGCCTGCATTAAGAATGATCTGAAGGTTAGAAAATGACCCCTGACAAAAGAAATCTACAATGGTTGAATCAGTGTATC